TTATTCCTATGTAGTGAGTGACCTATCCATTCTTGTTTAATAAGTTTCACTATGTTCTCTGTTCGGAGGTGGGATCCTGTACAGTTTTAACACGGGATGTACGAAGGTAAAGTGAAATATGCTACTAGGCGTTGGCTTACTGGACTTTACTGTATGCAAAAGAGCGGATACAAGAGGACGGTGAGAGTATATTTTAAATAGAAAGTTGTATGCATGCTACGTCAAACCGCAAACAGCGTGCTACTGGGCATGGGGGAGAAGAAAACTATATATGGAAAGGATAAACTTTCGACACTGTTTTGTTTGCATATCCGTTGCAGGATATGAGGAACTGAACATACTGAACATGTGCTTGCAATAATAAATGAAGGCTAAGATAATTCTGCAAATAACATTTTCGCTCTTGATCGTATATTGTTGATTTCTGATGATGACATAAGCAGGTGATACTTTTCGTGATTTTATTTAGATTTTCCAGATGAAAATTTGACTACTGTAACATACCATAACCGCCTCATTCCAAAATCCTTACCTATTTACCATTCCTAATCATCTTCCTAAGTTATTTGGAGCAAAGTAACGAAACCCTTAAATAATACAAAAAAGAAGAGAGAGAGATAAACAAACGCAAGGAAGAATGAACGATACTTTAAATGTGAAGAGAATTTTCATTTGATTAATTAATATTATAAATGTTAAGATTTATCTCAGTACCAAAAGCTAATAAATTTCCAACCACACAACAAAATTCTCGAACCTAAAGCCGAAGAATTAGTGTTAATAAATCCGATATGTATTAATGATAATAACATAAAATAATTCAATATTATAATTATAGAACTGCTACATACAGCATAATTAAACTTAACATAAAAAGGAGTCAACATTCTTTCCACTTATGTCAATAAAGTAATAGATTGGATTAAAACGCTTCAAATATGATCTTCTGTGTGTTTCATTAAAGAGAAATGTCCAGTCAGATTACATTCAACGCTTTAGCCGTGTATTAGGACTTGAGCTCGATGTGTTTGAAACTGTAATTGCATTTCCATGCGCAATGTCAACAGGTCATCCCTTCGTGCATACGTTCGCAATGAACCATTACCTCACATGTTTATAGGTGAAATGATAACTGAAAAAGTGCGTTGCTGAAGTGAAAACAAAAGGTAAAATGTGGTATTTCTGGAACAAACACGGTCTGTACTTTGCATCTAACAGTTTAATAAAATTAATAGGAAAGTTACATTTCATGCATTTAGTTTATCTCAATTCAACGGATGGAACAAACATCAATGCCCGCGTTCTCAAAGCAGAGCACTTTTATGATACGTTTAGACGGTCAAGTTAATTTGCCATTCTACTGTTCAATGTATAACCAAGATCCTATTTTAATTACCCGATTTCTCAACACCTGTAAGTTAAGCCATAATAACGTTGAACAATGATTTATTCTCAAAATATAAATAGTTTCGGAGCCTGAATTAATCCAGTCTGTTTTCGGGTAATTGTTATAATAGGGTTTACTATTTTTCAGCTTATGTTTCTTATATTATAAGGAAAAACAGCCTTATAATTAACATCATCATATCGTACATTTTTCAGTGAAGATATCAGTGTTGGTCTTCTGTTGACAACCCTTAAGATGGGGGCAGTATATTCCTCCAAAACGATAATATCTACCCACATGTCTGCACGGCGCTACAGCCCAGGAGAGTAACATATATTTCTCTTCTAAATTGATATCTCAATAGGATCATTAAGACGGAAACCCTCCGAATCTTAAGCGCCTATTGCCTCTCAGATAACCCACTCAGTGATTCCGGTCTGGTAGAAAGAAGCTTCAAAATACACCGGAAAAATAAGCAGATAATTAAATACTGAATATAGTAGCAAACAGGCAACCTCACTATTTTTTTGAAATAAATAGATTCTTCGCCGTTTCACAAAACCCACAATTTCATCTTAGCCTGAGCACGACGAATTCAGTGCAAACTTTAACACACTTTTTCATATCAACAGTAATATAATCGATCAGAGTCTGCGATTTTAAAGTGCTGTCATTTAGATTTTTGGACCAAGATATCTTATAACTGATACCACGAAGCAAATTCCTTCTTGTGGCGCTAATAATCACTAAAATAGTCAAAATCCCCACCTTTCTTAGAACCTAAAGATTCATTACTGTGTTCACAAGAGCCGACCACCTGTCCGTGTCCATACCCTCACACCATATTTCCCTAAGCTACATTTTAATATTACCGTCATCTGCGCCATATTATTCCCAGTGTTCTATTCCCTTCAGGCTTGCCAGCCACAATTATGTACGCATTTCGCATCTCTTCGTGCGTGATACATATACGGCCTTATTTCATTATCCTTTATTTTATTATTCTAACATAATCTGGCAAGGAGTATAAATTACAAATGTAATCATTATGCAATTTTCTCCAGTCTTATGCTAATTCATCCTTAGATACCAATATTCAAAGTACTATGTGTATTTCTCATTTAAACTACCAGCATGTACAACTTGTCACACCCATCTTGTAAGCATTAGTTTAATTATCTTGTTAGCATTAGACTAGATGAGCAGTGAATATTATGACGGTTATTTAGTAATTCTCTTCATCCTCCAGTTACTGTCACATTCTACAATCTAAATAATACTCTCGGCGCTTTGTTCTCGAACATAGCCCGCAAATTCCAATTATAAAGTGCATACGGAAACTCATTAGGTGATATGGCTGTTTTTTTTCTAATTATGTTACGTTTCTTGCCAGCTTCACTTGCCATCAGACTTTCAGCAATGAGTAATTAAGCTAAGCGTACTAGTGAAATTACCAGTAGACAAAAGTTATAAACTGTAGGAACAACTAACGCGAAGATGTCGCGTTAACAAAGGCCCTCATACAGATGCCAGTTAAAATTTTACTGTTCGCTATCTCTGGACAAGTAAAGAGAGGGGAAGAAAACTAAAAATATCGAAGATTATTTTCGACTCATCGACCTTGAATTTTCAGTTGGTACGGACGGGCAAGTGAGAGTTTGTTTATCCCTGGCTATACGTTAATTAGACTTTGCGAATTTGTATGTATCATTCTCTTAATATCGATTAACTGCAGGAAGAAACAACAGTTAATAATCTACTCATGCAACAGGTATCACACTTTCACACTCAGAAATTTATTCATCATGCCACAATATTTCAAAATTCTAGGCCCCAATGAGATCTATATTTTAAATCATGTACGAATGCCAATTATGTGTACAACGCGTCGATTCTTTGATCAGAACGACTTTCTAATTGATCTTTATGTAAAGTAACTTCTGAACCAAAACTAAATTCAGACCTCCAATACCAAAATTGTGTCGAAATCTGTCCAGTAGTTTACGATATCAAATTAAGTGGACAAACTTTAGAATTGATAGCGAAAAGTAAATAATTTAAAGAAGGCAGTAATGAGACATTTGAAGGAAAGTAGGATTAAGATCTTACAAATATGTGTTATATCAGAGGCCCACTATTCATTCAGCACTATTAAGTGTCTATTTTGTTCTATGTGATATTTTAATAGGCATTAATGTAAAGTAAAATAATTATCTCCTAGAATTAACATGTTATTTCAATGTTCAATTTCAGCTCTTCTGATGTAAGCAACAAATTAGACTGAATGATGCTCATTTTCTGTGTGTTCGTCTCTCTGCCTTCTCACTCCCGACAGCTACAAATGAAATAACAAACAAAAGCTATGCTGCAAGCGAAATTATAGGCCTCGGTCCCTTTCCTTTATGCTCGTTACGCTAGTAACACACAAACCCACATACACTCCGAAACAGGGAGGCGTATTTCAGACCATGCAAAATTTTCGTGTGTGTGTGTGTTCCGAAGCAACTGTACAGTTAATTCCCATATACTGAATTCATATGAAAGATACTGTACAGTACAGCGACATAAAACTATCATTTCTAATGTCGACAGTTTCAAACACGTGTGTCAACAGTACACAAAACTACAAATTCTGAATTATTTATTTAATTATAATATAGAAGTCATAAACACGGTTTCTTTTAACAGGTTTAATAGATATGTCATCGCAGTCGTTTACATTCGAATTCAAATATGGACATTTGGACTATCCTCGAGTTATTATCAAAACAACCATGAAACAAACAAGACAGAGTACTTAAGATTTACTCTTTAAAATTGTATTCATTACAGAGAAACTAATAGCAGGAGCAGTTACAATTACTGGACCGGTCAAGACATTTTCACTGCTCTTAGAGAACCTAAACTTTCACAACTACATTTAAAAAACGATCGCCACAGGACCCTGGCCAGAAGACGTTCAGTTCAATCCCCGTGGTCAAACTGTTTACCTAAGATTCGTTTCGAAGTCACCGTCCAACTTTCATAATTCCTCACGGTATCACAATTAAAATTTTATATGCATTTTTTCCATCTGCTCCGTATTTCCTCCTCATTTATTGTATTATTACAAACGAAATATTAATTTGTGAGGTTAATAACATCAGTTGCCTAGATTTAAACAAAATAATATCGTCAGAGTTCTTCTGGGTTGTGACACCGTGTAATCTTGCAGATGGAATCCAGCATTTCGGAAGAACGTTTCGTCTTCATCTTCACGTTTGAAGTCACCGATACTATCTATAAGACTACAACGCGCTAGAACCCAGAGAAGAAATCGCCCTGTGAACCTAAAAGCTGAAAGTATAGTTCGTGACTGTAATCTTGAAACTTGCGGGGTGAGGAAGTGGGGTGAAGGAGGAAAGATAGCGTCTGCCTTTAACGCTTCAGACTTCCTGCATTCCTTGCAAGTCTCAAGATTACAGTCGCGAACAGTAAAAATCGTGAATTTCGTTGTACCCTTTCACTTAGATTTGCATCTTTATAACCTGCACCCGACCTACAGCACGAAGTTAATAACTGGCCTTCCTGTGTTCATAATCTCACCCTTTGCCTTTTCTTTGTTTCGCTGCAGACGAGCTGCTGAAGAACTTCGGATACCAGGTTCTCGGCGGAGTTCTGCTGACGGCAATGGCGTTAGTTCTGTTCGCGACGGTCAGCTACCACTGCGCCGCTACGTGGCGCTGGCTCCGGGGTCTGGCCAGAGACCCCGATGGACATGCAGATGACGCCCTGGCCAAACAATCTGCCATAAGAATCAGTCATTCTTTGCCCGACCTCAAGACGGACCCCACCCGCCAGGAATACGTACAAGATCCCAAGGATGCAAAGAAGGTAACTCTCATACTGAGGGCAATTTTGAAATTGTTTCTACAACTCCATATCCTCGTAAATTAAGTCTAATTTGATATTGTTTCGTCAGCACGTTTTACGCCAGACAACACTACCATCCGTCCCTACGCGTCATCAGACCTTCCAGCGTCAACTGTCCCATCGCTTGGACCTCCCTAACATTCAGTTCAGCGTATGCAGCCTGGAACATAGAGCCGACTCCAGCATTGGTCTCATCAAGGTAAGAAGCAACCGTTTATGTTTCATTAACACTGCATCGCGGTTTCTTCCAAGTGTGGAAGAACGTCTTTCAAATACCGGATATCCTGCAGGTTAATTCCATGGCAATGTATTAAAATAAGTCAACATACTTAGCCAGTCACATTTCACACATTCAGTCTCATTAGACACTGTGAAACATTTGCAATTTAAAAACTTAAGATCAGAACTTGGCGGCAGATAAATGCAATCTGCATTACCGAACTGCTTTGGCAACAACTTTATTGTATAATTTAGGCTTTTAGGTAAGAGCAACTATGATAACTGTGTATTTACTACGGACTTTTTAAAGGTCAAGAATGGAAGACTGTGCACTGAATTTGGTCCATTATAAAGTCCAGTTTTAGGCTGTGGACTAATTTTGATTAAAATTAAAACTGGAGTAAAAACTAAGCACTATTTTGGAAACGTGCTTTTGTATTTATCAGTTGAATACAACCTGTATTTTACATCAACCTGAAAACAAGCTTGCTTCTTCCCAAGAGTGTCTCATCCTACAAAATTATTAACGACAAAATACAGATCTTGTTAAAATCTCCAAGTCTTATAATAAATATATTTCGATGTGGTGATTAAATTTCAAAATAGAAAGAGAACTATTTCAGAACTGTGTGGTGTGTTATATGTAGCGAAGAATGCATTTGAAAATACGTGTTGGGGCACTCTAGTGCGCTCTTATATCCTAAACAAGCACGCAATTTTCCCGACCATCTTTGCTCCGTTTAAAAGGTCCAATCAGGCTGACTAATGAACCCCTGCTGTATGCAATTACCAGACTTATTTGCATGTAAAAGAGATTCTGCCTCATACCACAACGGCCAGTTCATTGTCAGCCATACTTAGGACATCCACACGTCGCCATGTGAACACAATGACTACCTAATGTCACATCAGTGACATTGTTCTTAATCAGTACCTCTTGACAGTCGCAATGCCATCGAAATAAATCCATAAGTCTAGTCTCCTAAAACACCAGCTTTCTCAGTATGCAACTATGTTAAGTATTAAATAACTGTCTCTCACATTATCCCAAATCATTTCGCGGGAGTACGGAACCCGAACCCGATTAAGTAAAGTGACTGCTTATTAAATAAGAGATCTGTATTCTATTCCTGGAAGAGCAGTGACTTTTGCCTTCGTCTCTACATCCGGATAAACTCCGATGTCCATTCAACATATCTAAAGGGAAGTGAATTTCCCGAAGCGTGAAATTACCTCCATCTAATCAGTATATGAGCTATGTATACGTAAAGCATTCCCTACATAATACGTAAACCCTTCCATCCCGCGATACTTACGCGGAGGTGTAACTCTATTTTGAATTCTTAGATCCATTATATTCAGCATAAGACCTGCTGGCTATAAAATTATTTCGTAAAGGGACGTTCACTATGTATAACCCAAACAATATTACCGATCGTTACAGATTTTCTACTTAGTAGTAACATTAAATATTCCCATTATTGTTTTCCGTTATAACTGATTGTACTTCAAAAACCAAGAACCACTATTTTATTATATCAGAATTTATAATAGCAATAGGATTTGACTAATTGGAGACATTTCTACACGTTTACGTCGCTTATAACATTACAAAGTCAACCACAAAGTAACACATAATTTCTCTGTTATATTTCTGTACTCGATGGATGCACACAGATCAACCAACTTTTAACGCACAGCATATAATTACAACGGACGGCCTTCTTACGCATGAATCTCATCAAAATCTTTCTTAAATTTTCGCCACAAAGTGAACAGATTTGGTTGTGTGTATTTTGTACCCATTCTTCATTAAATTCCCACCCCAAACCAACCCCTAGAGTGGAATGTGGGTGTAACCACTTTTATAGACATGTCTAGATGTGGCGGTAGCTCAGAAGAACTACTTGTGACTATCAATCCACTTACCAATGGTGTAGCGGCCATATTCTGGGCTCGTACACGGGATGTACGTGTTCGCATTGTCTACTGCATCTACTGTCCTGGTCCTTTTCAAGCCATGCAGGTGAATAAGGGCGCATAGCCTCGAAAGTAACTAGTGTCTGCTAACTACTCATCCTCGACCTTCCTACCAACCTCCACGCTCTTGTGCTCGGAAACAAGGGCTTAAGACAAGCACAATTTCTTCTTAATCGCACCAAACATCAAATATACGTAGCTATAACCTCTGCACCTGAAATGGAGTCGTCGTGTAACTGAAGATATGAAAATGAAACCGTCTACCTTCCGTCCTGTAAAATTAATGCCCCCACTCTTGGTCTCAAGAGTTTATGAAAAATGGGCATCAATTTATGTCCATTAGTTTCCAGTTATCCTGCCTTATTAGCCAGGAAAAGCGAAGCGACGTATAAAAAATTCTTGTACAGACTTCCACATTAACTTTCCTTCTAACCTAAAAGTCACTGCTTAACGATTCCATATCAAGTAAGCAATTACTGACGCCTCGGGAAAAATGTTGGTGAAGTGCTGCCACCATACGGCATACGTAATTACGTGGTGGTGTGGGGACACACGCTCAGAGGAGCCCGACCCGCTAAGGACACTGTCATATGACCGATCGAAGCGAAGAGGCTAGCTTGATTCATCTCGCCTACAAACGAGCAATGCAGACAAGGCACCAGTTTAGTTCTTTATCTGATAACGGTTACCGAGTTAGATATTCTCTTTCCTTCGTGCATATTTCATCAAGAAAGAATACACAGTTTTATTCCGTTCCAACGTAAATTTTTTGTACCTTAAAATTCGTTCTCAGAATAGTATTTACAAACTCAGTTCCTACCTCGGAGAAAACACAAACATCACTTGGATAATGCTGTGTATGTAAATAACAGCTGTTTATTCTGAGCATCATACGAAACACGGCAAAACACCCCGCAGGCAAAACGTAGTTACTAAATTCTACAGCAGGTGATACACATAATTACCACTACACTTCAGAGCGTTAAATGATACATTTCACATAGAACAAAATGGAATGCAATCACATGAAGAAAAATCAAAAGTTACATCAATTTCTTTAGAGTCAGTTGTTTTTTCCTTCATTTTAATTTTTTATCTTAGACAATTTTCATTTGTTGAAATTTTTCAAAACGTTTTACATTATACAGTCACGGGTAGAGAATTTTTTTTCTAAAGGAGGCAGAATTTTATGTATTCCAGGTTTCACTTTAGTCATGTCTTACTCTGTAACGTAATTTAAACTAACGGTCATGCTTTGTCGATTTTACGACAAGGCGTATAATTGAACTCTTAAAGGCACAGCAGCTTAATTAATGTGTGTAGACATCACATGTCATCTGAAGAAAGAAACTGAAGCAATGCTTACTCAACTGGAAAACTAGGAAACGCTGGTTCAATACTTCCCCCTACCCCCCACCCTCTCACTGATCGACAGAATAGAAAACCTCTTTCTTGGAAGTTACATCTGCACTGAATACGATTAATCACGCATTATAAATGGATGCGAGGAACCTTTTATTACCTCATAACGTTGGTAGTGATGGGGAGGTGTGAGTGGGTTTAATGGCGCGTCAGTGTCTGAGGCTATCCGCGCCGGTATAAAATTCAATTTCAAAGTAGTAGTTGTAGGTTATAAGAACTACCTATCCGCTGCTGATGCAAGCAACGAAAAGGGAGCGTTTAAAACTTTAAATCATGTCCTGTCTGTCTTACAAGCTCCATTAATGTGCACACCTTACTTTATAACGCATTTTTAGAAATGTAAATATAATTTATAACCAACCTGCATATGAATATGAATATCACCATGTGTTACATTTTATCTCATATTCGTTAATTCGCTTTAATTACGAACTCATCAGACGAAGAATGCAAATCATGATGATTCCCATCATGTAAAAATTGTCACTTCATCTCGTTCGCGTCCAAATATCATGGTAATTACTTTATTTTCAAACACCTCTTAAAATAGAATAATAAAATCTTCCCGGGTGACAAGCCGGATAAAAATGGAATCGTAGTCCAACGTTTCGGAGATACTCTCTGTCTCTATCATCAGAGAATGCGAAGGGTTGCTGCAGTTTGCTGTTTACATCTACCAAAAATGGTGTCCTTTTATATACGGCCTTTGGCCAATAGGGAACGCGGATGCACCCATCTATAAACAGTCCACTCTCTCCCTGATGATAGAGGCAGCAAGGACCTCTGAAACACTGGTAAACTTCTACCAAACTACACGGCGCAACAACCCAGAAAACAGCCATCTTCAGACTCACCGCCGTGAAAACCTCAAATCCTACAAGATATTTTTGTTTACTGACAATAGCAAAGTTTTCGTTCTGTTCTGACATTCTCGGCACACGGTGAAAGCAAAACTACTGTGTGGAGGCGGCAGAATTGCGAAAGTTCTTAAAGTTGGTGCTTTCAAATCTACACGTGTGTGCTAATTACACTTTGCCGCAAAAAGTCCGAAACAAAAGTTACTCTTCGTCTGTGTACAGTACGAACTAAAAAGAAGTATAAAGACAGTGAGAAGAAATAATTTACTAGATTGCCTCACTGTTTTGTAGTAAGCTAAGATAATTATAGACAAACTCAGTAACAAAGAGCACTTAGCGTAGTTCCAAAAACGTAACGTTTATCGCTTAAGCGTATTTCTCTGTCGCGTTACATATACAGAGTGAATTTCCTGTGAGAGTGATTTTCAAATTAATCTTACGTGATCAGATTGAACATTGAAACACTTAATGCCCCGTAGTATGTTACAAGTAATCTCTAGTTTAACATAGAGCTGTAGGATCTATGTAATACAAACTGTGTTTCGGAAAACTAATTTTTAAAAATATTTAAATCATTATGCTTCCCGAATAAACCACTAGGTTTCGCGAGATGGCTCTTCCACCGTCCTTAAATGAACTTGCACAGTCGGGCCCATTAGAAGAAGCTAATCTCGGTCTGTGGACCTTCTAATGGGTCCGACTGCGCAAGTTCATTTAAGGGCCCGGGAAGAGCTATCTCCCGAAACCTAGTGGTTTATTCAGGAGTATAAGAAAGAAAAAATTGAAATTAGTAATTCAACAGTATTTCAATAACATTTAGAGATGAAGTGTTTCGGGACTGTACCTACTTCTGTCTTCAGTAAGTGGTTGCCACTATAAAAACAAACGTCGTATATATTTATGAAAGTTTATTTAATATACATGAAATTTCGGAAGTTGGCTCTATTACCATTTTCAAATGATTATTCTACAACCTGTTCTGTTTTCAGATGGCATTTCCAAGATATACATGACAATTCGGCAGATGGCTGTACTCCTAATTTAACGTAATCCTGTTCTCAAATTATTGATTGTTATTGTACGGGCAGATATATATTACATCGGTGGCACATTCAAATTAAAGAAATTTTAGGAGTTTATAACATTCCTCTTTAGAGATGGCTGCTTTTCATACGGGTAGAAACGAAACAACGTACATTTGATATGTATTGCACATGACGTTTCGGTGTTGGATATACTTCTGTCAGTCATTTTCAATCTCTTACCGTTGTACTAGGACTAGGCTTCCATCTTATCAAGTGAAACAAATTTACAGCTCATACACTGAGCTCAGGTATTCTAAGGGAATATGTCTACGTTTCCATTATTTTAATTAATTTCTGACTCGCTCAAACTGAACAACTGAATGACGTATTTGTGCGTACTAATGAATATTTATTATATTAAAACACAAATTTCATAAAACAACACATCCATTCTTCTGCACGTTATGATTAGAAAAGTGCATAATGATTATTAAAAATCCCATAAAATTCTATATTTTTTTGTATACAGGGAAAAATAGTCAGTGGGACTAATGCAGCTTAAAACACAACGCAAAGCCTATAAATAAATAAAAATATGCCTAGATAGGCCCTAATCACGAAATTCACATCAATCTGTCAATAAATTACGTGTTTCTCTATACTTCCCGAAAACTAAAGATTCAATTCAATTCAATTAATTTATTTACGTGTTTGCCAACAGCAAGAAGCCAATAACAGGCAAACACAGAATACATACAATAATAATGAAATAATAATGGATAATAGTAAACAAACGGATTAACTAAACTTATACATGTACAGTATTAAATGTAACTGCCAAGTACAGACAAACCCAAAACAGAAACAATATTAACACAGAGCAAAAAATGAAGAAATATAAATAAAAACAAAAAATCCACCTAGGGAACACTAATATAATTGTAAAACTTCAGAGAATATAAAAATGTATCACATACACATTTGTATATAATTTGTAATTGTCGATATTTACTGTCGATTAAGATGGCGCATCTTCAACTTTATAGCCACATAAAGACGTTAACTTGGGAGCCTACTGTAAATAAACTTCCTTAGACATATTAATAATAGTTATATTTTAGACTATTATTTGTACTGTAAAATGAGGCATAGATAAGGCACCTATCCTTGAAAAATCAGGTGATATTTTATAAGTTTGATTATCAGAAATAGGTTATATCTATCAAACGTTTCTCAACAAACGTTTATGTACATTTCACGGCAGTCCCACTTCACGTCAAATTCATTGTACCATACCTAAATTAAAGCAAAGTCTGTTGTATGCGACTGATTCTTCATAGGGAAAAAGGCTACGTTAAACGAGACTACAAACATGGCTTACTCCATTTCGGTTTGCAACCAAATGGACCCAATTTCTTGACAAAATTATTGTTATTGTTCCCTATCCAGTGAAACGGATAATTAAAATCACAATGCATTCATAAAATTATTTTTGGTACACGAATTCTCCCGTTCTTATCTACGGTAACCAAGTTCCTCATTATGTATACATAAAAAATTAAAACTCTCTAGGTGCCAGTAAACTCGGAGGAGAGAGATCATTTCGATATTCACATCAACTTCCACTTCGTGCTCAGCTTTATCTAAACTACAATTCGAGTATTACAAATCATATCTCCTCGTTGTTTCCTTTTACTTGCGATTCCATAAACTTTCCCCAAGGCAGAAATGTTGCTCCCAGTAGATTGTCTCTCTCTGTGCTTTGAATTTGAAGCATAAAGAGATTCATATCGACAGGTGATTTGCAAGGATAGAATGGAATCTGCAATACAGTAGGCTTATAGTTACATGAGGATTTTAAGGCAGCTAAGATTTTGATGTTGGTCATCTGCATTTTCATCTTCATTCCTGAAGATGGAGGTAGTATGTTCCTCCCCTATGCAATTTATTTAGCAGAAAATCAACAAGTGGATATATTTAAATGATGATCTGTCTCATCTTAAAGAAGGTCCCAACACATAACCACGAAGAAGCCCCTCACTGTAGCGGCAATTTCTCCGACTGCAGTGTACTACATGTAATCTACATTCTGTCTGACAGGCGTTAATATGCTTCTAAGTACCAGGACTGAGCACCAAGATATTTAAGTCATGTCTACAGATATTCCAAGCTTCCTCTCATAACAAAGGGTAGGGAGATTCAATACGTGAGACAGGTAACATAAGACGAATTTGCTTAACACACGAAGTAAAATGCCACATCCTGGTGAAAAAATCATTATGACGATTAAGTCTCTTATAGCCTAATCGCGAATAAACTATTTCGCGAATGCTATCATCTCATATTTGTTTGACCATCCATCGTCGGAGTGCGTTTAAAATTGCGACCAAGCTCACCCCTTCATGACGATAATTACATTTTCTGCTGGAACTATCTATGAAACGTAGCCATACATACCAAAACAAATTTGTGTCGGATATGTCAATAATGACATTCACATAATATATTTCCCCAAATGATACACATGCCAGCATCCAGCTTTGCCTTCAGAGAAGTAACCGTAGTTGGGAAGGTAAAATTATGGCAAAATGAGTACATGAAGCATTAGACTGGACTCAGCTGGCTCATAAAAAGGACCAATGACAGACCCTATTGATGCATAATCCATGAAGGCGAGACTTTTTTGACAAACTGATTACCTGCGGACTTAACAAGACAGTATAATTATTTATTCGGTTAAAACTTAAAATTAAATTCCTATCTGTCCATAATCTCCCATTTTACACGAAAAGCTAATCATTCCTGTGCTGCACATTGCGATTTTTCAACCAAATTAATAATATATAAATACGTACACAATGTACCTTACATGGGGCTATATGACATTTCTAAACAGAACTTAAAAAAAACTATTTCTTCCTACTTTAATTTTCCTCTGTTAGTCAATAACATAATACAGCGTCGTTCCTATCCGGACCTGAAAGACTTTAAGGGTGCGTAGAGGAACAAACCAACCTCCCGTTATTGATGAAGTGGTGCTTAAATAAGCGTGGGGATAAATTTACCATTTAGATAAAATTATCTACTTCAGTGGCTAACAGTCGGAATTTTTAAAATATCGTAAATTTTCAATGGATGAGTTGAGCAGTCATTCAATGTCGTTATTTAAAACAGCATTTGAGACTTTTTGCATCTCAAATTTCTAATTTAAGATACTTTTTACTGTTACTAATTATATTATTCTGCGTATTTTATTAAACTATATAACAGTTCCCTAGTTACTTGAAGGAGGTCTAACTTTAAATCACGACTGTTTACCTCTAAGAATGAAATACGCACGAAACTGTTGCATGTCATTTGTTACAGCCGGAGCTGTACAAAAAAGAGATGCTAGCACGTCAGACGAGCTCTGATAGCTCTGTAACTGGGGAGATGGAGTACTGTGGCAAGTTGCACTTCGCGCTCCGCTACGACTCGGAGATAGAAGGGCTCGTCGTCAAGGTAACCACAACCACTCTACAGAGTTGCAACGTAAACAAATGAAAGAGAAATTCACAGCGACCCGTTCACAATCTGATCCCGAGAGAAAAAAAAAACAGTTCACTTTTACACGAGCAGAAATTCGTTTGCAAGAATGTAGAGACATCTGTTTTCCTTAAAAATGCTTCCATCAGCATACAAATTGGACATACACTTTATTCTTCTAGTCAGACGCTTAGCATATTTTGATTCTGTATTAATTGTAAAATGAGGAATCCTTTTTAGACATTCGACGGGACTGTGTCATTGAGATTGATCAATCTTAAGGCCTCTGCTTAAAACAACACAGATTATTTATATGTTGACCGCGATTCGAATCCAAGGCCCCAGTATCAGAAATAACCAAGATTGTATTCACCACAAATCAAAGGGGAAACAATGTTTTAAAAAAATCAATTTATCTTCCACTTCTTTAAAATTCAGTAACAGAATCATTAAATCGTGACATCATACTTATTTTTCTAAAAATCTGCACTATCATCAAAAGAACAATACACATTAATTTGACCATATTTGTTATTATTCTAAATTCTACGTAGAATGCAGAGAAACCTGAGGTAATTTAGAAATTCTAATGAAATAGAGATTTGTACAAGTGGAAATTATACACCTAAATGGATAAAAATTGTAAGTATTTATTTATTTCTTATTTCCTCGCAATACAGCCTAAATTTTTTTAAGAAAAGTATGATTCGTAAGTTCTTTACAGAACTTATCAAAATTTATCACGCTAGTCAGCGCAGTAAAGTGTATTTTAGTTCCATTGCTGCAAAATATTTTGTTAATTTATTAATTAATTCTTCCCTTCGCAATTCAATAATGATCTAATTGTGCAGAATAAATTTTAAGACACAGTTTTGATTGTATTATAAGTACGTTGCTTTAGATTCAGTAACAGATTTAATTGCAGGTTTTCAATTTTTTATTCTGTAGGTACTACAGGCGCAGGACCTTCCAATCAAGGATGTCAGTGGAAGCAGCGACCCATACGTCAAAGTTTATCTGTTGCCGGACAGAAAGAAGAAATTCCAAACCAAGGTCCATCGCAAAAATCTTAACCCCGTTTTTAATGAAACCTTTATCTTCAGGTGAGTACGCCCTGTGGGTCATTTTTGATGAATAAGTTCGATAAAAGTTAGCCTATCACATTTTCACTTACATCAGTACTGAGGTTGCTATTTTATTTACAACCCAGAACAAATGTCCGACTTTCCGGAACTGTGGCATT